TCATGGTTCTCACATTCCATGTCCCAATCACCAGTGTCTGCTTACAACTGTTCCTCTTCCTTTGTATTTCCATACTTGAAAACTCAACCTCCTTTGCCGTTTCTGTTATCTAAATGTGTTCTGTTGTACATAGGGTTTTCAGAGGCCTGCTATTTCAGAAGTGGATGGTTTCACTCATAGCTTTCTCTGAGGACACAGTATCTAATTAAACATCATCCAGTAGTAGCTGTTCCTCTTTGAGGACTTTTTATATTAATTCATTCACCAAATACTGATTAACATTAAGCATTTTATATAGGTCAACTTCTGGTATCATCATACATTGCATGTTTTCCTGCTAACCAGAACATCAATAGTTCAAATCCACCAATTGCGCCACAGGATAAAGATGGGCAGTCTCCTCCATTAAAGATTTACAGCCTCCGAAATCCAATGGAGAGTCACTATGATTCAGAATTGACTCAACAATAGTGGGTTTTTCTATATGTTGTTTGGGTTTTTTGTGGGGTTTTGTTTGTTTGTTTGTTTGTTTGTTTTTAAGAAATCAGGTCCTATTCTAGGTACTAAGGAGCTCTGGTGGTTTAGTGGTAAGGAATTGAGCTGCCAACCCAAAGGCATGAAGTTCGAATCCACCAGTTGTTGTGCAGGAGAAAGATGGGCATTCTCCTGCCATGCAATTTACAGCCTCTGAAAACCCACTTTGAGAGTCAGCTCTGAGTCAGTTTCAACTCAATGGACAGGACAACATTTTAGGTGCTGGGGACACTGAGGCCTTCTTTCTTGGTACAGTGTTGGACAGCTGTTTAAAATGTCAGGAGTTTAAACTCACTCACCAGATGCTCCAGGAGAATATGAGGCAGAAACTTGATGGAGAGTGACTTTGAGTCAGAATTGATGACAGTGGGTTTGATGGACATAAACATATGCTAGACAAACAAGTTTCATGCCCCTCATGAAGGAAAAGAAAGTAGAGTTATTTCAGATAGTGACAAATACTGTTGATGCATTTAAATTGTGCGAAGTTGCTCTAAATTTGTAGGTCAGAAAGGCCTTTCCAAGAAGGCATGTGATACTGTAGGATAAATGCACAAGTTAATTTCCTCACTCCATCAATCCTGTGAGGTTATTATCACTTACATTTTACAAGTGAGGAATTTGGGGCCCAGACACGTTAAATAACTGACTGATGGGCTTTTGGTTGGTACGTGGCAGTTAGAATGTAGACTCAATTTGGCCTGATCCCAACATTTAATGCTCTAATAATTTTCTTTAATAAAATAGTGTTTGTTTCTTTTATACCATGCAAGACATTTTACAGATCTTAGCTCATTGAGTCCTTGCACCAACCATGTGACCTAGGTTTTTTTACAGACATGGAAACAAAGACTCAGAGGATTTAATTCACTTACCTTAAGTCATCGACTTAAACCCAAGGCTGTCTGACTCCAAAATCCATGCCTTTTCCATTCCAATTTCATGTGATCCTGTTGGATAAATGGATTTCATAATACTTTTGTCAAATCCCAGAGACCTTCTTAATTCCTTAGGGTTCTCTGCTAAGTTCCGGACTGGTGACTTGCTAGGTGACTGAGGACTGATAGTTGCCATTGTTTAATTCTACAATACACTTGCCTCGTGGCAGCAGAGCAAAGCCTGAGGCCTATCCTTTTGCCTTATCACTTTTCCTCTCTCCCAGGTGCCTTCATCAACTGTGGAGTTCCTCGAAAAACAAGGCATTGATGTTCGGGTGCTCCAGACAGAGCTGGCCGTAAAGGAGTATAACGCCCTGGTTTCCCAAGGAGTCAGGGTGGGCGGTGTCTTCCATTCTACCTGCTGATGAAGTCTTAAGAATAAATCACTAAGCAGTAATGTCTGTGACTGTGACTCTTGGCACTCTTCACATCAGCTTTCCACAAGCATTTTTAGCACCTGCTTAGGCCAGCTCCACCTTTCGACTCTTAATATACACACACAATTAAGGGAAGTTCCCTGTCCTTGGGGTACTGAAAACCAGAAGAGGTTACAGGTTATTTCCCAAGTTTAAGAATGTGGTAAATGTTAGACTAGAAACTTGAAAAACTAAAGACAAAAATAAAGCCTTTTCCTTTAAAGACTTAAAACTGTTTTAGTGCAGAATGTTCAGCCATCAATTCAACTAATGTATTTATTGCATACCTCATATGCCAGGCACTGCTGTGCTTCAGCGAAACAGCAATCCATATTTTTCTCTCATGAAGTTTATATTCTAGTGGGTGAAATAAATGAGCAAATAGATAAGTACATACTATATGTAGAAACATTTAGGGAAGAAAAAGCAGGTTTAAAAAAAAAACAAAACAACCCAAAGAGTGGTGGTGGGCTGGTTCAGATATGTGTCCAGGGCAAGTCTTCATATAGAGGCCCTATGAGCAGAGTCCTGAATGAAGTGATAGAGCAAATGTCAGAAAGGAAAAGGAGGCTCAGATCCCTAACTGAAGATGGTGTTAGACGAGATGCTCTTTAAGGCTGCCTCTGGCTGGAGTAGTCTGTGTGCTATTAAATACCCAGGCAACCTGTGTGAAGCCTCAGAATAGACTGATAGGACCATATTATCAGCATCACCTTCCCCCTCCCTTTTTCTCTTTTTAAGGAGTTTTGAATGTTGCTCTGGTATCAAATACCCTTCAGCTGGACTGTAGCTATCTGGCACTCACAGGTTGAACATCTATTTTATCAATCTATTTTTCATATCTGAAACAAGGATAATGTTATTACTTGAGGCCATTGTAAGAATTAAATAAGGTAATTCACATAGTGTACTGCCTGGCATGTAATAAGGACTTCATAGGCAGAAGTTATTACTGCCATTTTCTATTAGCAGGGCTGCTGTGTAAAGCCAGCAAGTATCATTTTATAGTCCTTAATACAGCCCAAAATAATTACGCTCACCTTTTCTCTCTCTCTCTCTCTCTCTCTCACACACACACACACACATTTAATTAGTAGTTCTTCTCCCTGCCCCTTACCCTACTACTAATGGTCATCTGACTGGTTATTGCTGGGACTTAAGAGTTCATGGGTAATAAAGGTCTGGTTCCTACCTCAAGAATTTAAATGAGACAGAAAATTAAACTGTAATGACACAAGACATATAATAATAATTACAAGGTTTAGTTGTGTCTGTTGTTATTATGTGCCATCGAGTTGCGTGCAGCTTATAGCGACCACAGACCCCTGCTCTATCTTTAGCCAGTTTCCTTTCCTTTCTAGTTTTCTTTATTTTCATGAAAGTTTACAGAGACTTTGGATTTCCATTCATGCGTTGTTGCACTTTTCTCTCCACCCCAACTCACTCTTCTCTTTGAAAAGTAAAAGAAAAATTCTTTCATTGTTATACAACCCCTCTCCCCAAGTCCACTCCACTATACAGCCTTCATTCTGGACTCCTATCATGACTATCATACCTAATCATACATCCCTTTTAAACAGTTCTCTCCCTCATCTGTTTCAATGCAGTATACATTCTTTATCCCCTCTTTATTAGTCTCCCTTCAACCTCGATGTTAGTCCTGTTTTACAACAGTGGCACTATGCAATATTTGTCCTTTTTTTTATTTGGGAAATGGTTTATTATTTAATATTGTTCAATATTTGTCCTTTTGTGACTTAGATATTTCACTCAGCATAATGTCCTCCAGGGTCACCCATTTTACTTAATATTTCATGAGTTCTTTGTTTTTCAATGTAGCATAGTATTTCATTGTGTGAATATACCAGTTTCTCTAACCATTCATTTGTTGATGAGCACTTGGGTTGTTTCCAACTCTTTGCTATTGTGAACAAAGCTGTGACAAACATGGGTGTGCATATATCTGCTTGGGTGGTGGTTATAGTTTCTTTAGGGTATATTCCCAGTAGTGGAATTGCTGGGTCAAATGGTATTTCTGTTTGCAACTTTTTGAGAAAGCACCATATAGCCTTCCATAGTGGTTGCACCATTTTACACTCCCACCGACAGTGAATAAGGGTTCGTTTCTCCACAACCTCGCCAGCATTTGACGTTTCCAGTTCTGTTAAATTTTGTATCTTGAGTCAATTTCCTTTTCTCTGACACACCCATTACCCCAGTCACTGAGTCAATCCATCTCATGGAAGGAAAGTTAAGGAAGGTATCAGTAGAAAATGATAATTAAGAATCACACTTAAGTTGAGTCTCAAAGAATGAGATGTCTATATCATTCATTAAATACGTCACAACTTTTACACCAGATAGTTATTAGATATATTTAACATGGTCATATTGTTGTTATGTGCCATCGAGTTGCCTGCGACTCATAGCGACACTATGTACCAAAAGCCCTAAACTCTGCTCTATCCCATGCCAATATTATTGTTTCCAACACACCTATTCCCATTACCCCAGTCACTGAATCAATCTGCCTCATCAAAGGTCTTTCTCTCCTGCGCTGTCCTTCCACCCTCCCAAGCATGATGTCCCTCTCAAAGGACTGATCCTGTCTTGCAACATGTCCAAAGTATGTCAGACAAAGCTTCAGAATCCTTGTCTCCAAGGAGCAGCCTGCTTTCACCCTCTCCAGGCCAAACCTGTTTGTTCTCCTTAGCAGTCCATGGTATATTCAGTACTCTTCTCCAGCACCACAGCTCAAAAGCATCAATTTTCTTTCTGTCATCCCTAATTATTGCCCCGTTTTCATTTTTTTTAAATTTTTTTACTTTTATTATTATTGTGTGTGTGTGTGTGTGTGTGTGTGTACACCATCAAATCAGATCCAATTGGTACAGGAGGAGATTGCCCCTCCTTCTCCAGCAGAGCATCTGGTGGATTCGAACCGAATGCCTTTGGGATTGCAGCACAGCTTCTTGCCACTGTCCAGCTTTCTGATGCATAGCAAATCACTGCAAAGACCATGGCCTGTATCAGGCACCTTAGTTTCCAGACCGACATCGTTATTCTTCAGTACTTTGGAGAGGTCTCTGACAGTAGACTTTCCCAATGCAATTCGTCTGTTAATTTCCTGGCTGCTGGTACCAAAAGTGTTGATTGTAGAGGGAAGCAAACTGAAACTATTAACAATCTCAATCTCTTCACCATCCATCAGAGTGCTGCCAATCTGCCCAGTGGTGGGAATCTTTGTTTTCTTGATGTGGAGCTTCAATCCATATTGAAGGCTGCAGTCCTTGACCTTCTGCATTATTGATGAGCATTCCTCCAATCCTGATGCTGTATTTCTCTTCAGAGAGCCCAGCTTTCCAAAGCATCTGTTCAGCATATAGATTAAAATGATATCCTTGGTGCACACCCTTCCCAATTTTGAACCATGCAGTGTTCCTTGGTCTGTTTTGATGACTGTCTCCTAGTCCAAGTATGGGTTTCACATAAGCACAATCAAGTTTTCTGGGATTCCCATCCTTCTCAGAGTCAGCCACAGTTTTTGTGATCAGATGTCTTTTGCATAGTCAGTGAAAAACAGATAGACATTCCTCTAGTCATAGCTAAACAAAATTGCTTCATTCCTGCTCTTGTTGAATCAGCATCCCTAGAAAGCGGATTTTTGTTCCCCGCGACCCTGCCACCTGATTGGTCCAGATGGGCATCTGATCAACAGGGAACCAATCCATAAACAGAACAGTAAGTTAAGAAGTAGTCTGGCAAGAAAATGTAAGCTAAAAGTGAAGGAATTTTTCCAATTTCATCCAAGTAAATGACAGAGCCAGATCAGAATACCAGGGTCCGTCTTGGTTCCTTTCTACCATTCACTACCTAATCTGATAGGAAGCCCAAGGGAGTGAGATCCCCACAGCCTTGACAACGGGGATAGAAGTCTGGGTGGTTCTGCTCCAAGCCCTTTATGCTGCCAGCAAAGTGTCAGATGACAGGTTCTTTCTAGATCTCACTTGGCTCAGGAAGCCAGGGCCCTGTGTTGTTAGAAAAACAGAGATCATTCTCTTCCTTTGCAGTTAGTCATGTGTGTGTCTGCGTGTGTGTGAGAGAGAGACAGACAGAGAAGGGAGAGGCGTGCAATGAAGGAAGTGCGACAGCTCCAGTAGGTGTTGCATTAGGTGTGGGTGTAATCACTCTTCCTACATGAGTTTTCTCCACTTTAAAAAGAACATAATATGAACTTCCTGGAGACAGAAATATATGGCAGAGAGGTTGGTTATTAAACTTACACGATGCTATGTGCTGTCAAATGCAACTCAAAGCAACCATATGAAAAACAGATCTGAAGCCTGTCCTGTTTTGTGCCATCCTCATCATACTTGAGCCCACCGCTGCCATCACTGTATCGATCCATCTGAGGGTCAACTTCTCTTTCACCGGCCCTCCAGTGTTCCAAGCATGATGTGTTTTTTCAGGAATAACTCCTTCTAACAACATGCCCGAAATATGTGAGATTAAGCTTTGCCATCCTTGCCTGAAAGGAGCATTCTGGCTGCACTTTTTCCAAGACATCTTTGTTCTTCTGGCAGTCCATGGATATTCAGTACCCTTCACTCACACTACAACTTAAAGGCATTGAGTCTTCTGTCATCCTTATTCTTTATCCAGCTCTCAGATGCACAGCAAGTGATTGAAAAGACCATAATACCTACTTTCTGCACCTGGTCTTTATGGTCAATGCTGGAAACTTTTGGAACTTATAGAGAAGTTCTTTTCCCATGGAACACTACACACTCCACCTATATTATAGTCACTATATATGTCATAAGCATTGACACTGAATTTTTAGGCAGCCCTCACTGCCTACCAAATTTCTTCCAGTTTGAGTGATTTCTAAGACAAGAAGTCTCCCCACTGCTAGCTGCAGCTTTCTGTCTCATCATTCTGTTTGCTAAAGCAAATGAAAATATTTCAGAAACTT